ATATATTACCGAATTGAAAGTACATGTGCAGTATAAGCATATGTCAGAGTAGCATAGCGTGGGAAGTGACATAAGTTCATTACATGATGTTATATATTAAACACATCAATAATTACATGATTCTCTCAATGACTCAATATGCGGGGAAGCACTTACAATAAACATGAAACTACATAGATGTGTAAATTGACATCAGAAGAGTTAATAACAGTTATTTAGCCTATACAAAATAGCCTGTCGCAATTTACTTTAATGCCGGAAATTGGTTTTCTTTTTTTTCACGCAATTAAATGGTGTAGAATCATTATCATTACGCAACTCTTATGTCAATCAATCCGTGAAGCAGAATGAATCACTTATAGACGTTTTGTACCCTCGCACATGCTATGATTTATGATGCTGTCAATAGTGTCACTCCCTCCCACTAGGAGACAGTTGCACCTGATAGATCTAGACGGTGATGTTCTTTTGACTAGCATTGCCAGGAAAAAGCATGTTGTGGAATCATAAATGTATACACTTGGAAGTAATTTGCAACTAACTTGAACAATTCGGGAAAGCAGTTGGCAACATTGTAATTTGTGTAAAAAAACTCGTTCTCAATTTGGTGGAAACATGGAAGTACAACTCCCAATTAAAGTTTAATTTCCAATTAGCTCTTATTGACTATCCCTGCGCAGAAAACACAACAACACGACCTATCAGTACGTTGTGACGATTTCATAACACCGTAACTGAATTGTTTGTCCTTAATTCAACCCCTTCTTTCTGTCTCTCGTGTGTGCCATTATCTGAATGGTGCGAGTGTCGAGGCAAATGCAGCAGTCAGTAAACTATCCTTGTTAGCAGATATATGACAAATGATTGGCATCTTCGACTAAATTACCGGGGATAATGTAACTAACAAAATGTGAATTGACAAATTGCACGGAAACACAGTTAATATGTACCAAGGTCGCGCGGGAGTCAATGTAATTAAATAAAAAAAACAAATTCCACAAACAATGGTAAAGTAATAAAATTTCAGTGAGATCGTTTTTTGATAACGTTAATGAAACGCACTTAATGACTACTTAGTATATGCTCACTGTTGGCAAATTTGAAGTTACATTTAACTTTAGATCATGAGTTTTCTGCATGCACGTTGTTATCTGACTATGTGAATAGATTGATTCTCTGAGAATCGTTACCTATAAACGGGAAGCTGACAATCCCCGGGGATTTCAATAAGGAATCAACGATGCACCATAAACCTTGTTCGCAAATGATCGCCGAGATTTCGTTGAGAGCGATAGAGCAAAAGATACCACCCTCTTCCCATAAAATAGTGCTCCGTTCTCATCACGTTCACTTTTCCCATGATAAAGACTACCGAATAGAATGGTATTTCGAAAAGCAAATGCAATGGCGGTAGAGAACAGGAAAACTATTTTGGGGAGAAAGTCCCGCAGCTATCTCGTTCTCAGCGATATCTCGGCGGCCATTTTCAAATAAGGTGTATTGTATACATTATTTAACTTCATTGTGCTTTGAACTTTAATTATTTTTGCTCCGATATTAGCCTTATTTGAAGTTCCTCCTTAAACTGATATCATGTACTATATTGCTAACCATATAGTGGGAATAATTATCCTATTTGCTGACTTGTGTGTAATAATCTCAGAAGAAATTGGCAATTTAACCTTTCTTTTCAGTAGTTCTGACAGGTAACTACTAAGGAAATTGCTGCTGCGATTTTTCTCATAACCCATTATTAACAAAGCTCGTAAACATGCCGTTATCATTGATGAAATCATACATTATAACGACGACAATGTGCTGCTGACCACCATGAATATGGTGACGTCATCGATTGCTTTACTCTGTCTTATGCTATTCCCCGATCACAATTATGGTAGATCGGAATTAACCAGATACACTGCGTGACAGGTTATATGTATCATTTCCATGCGCCACTTACTATTACCATCCGAATGACCAAACATTACTGTAAATGCCAGTCAATGTTGATCAATGTCGGATATAATCACGCCCACTCCGTAAAGTGTGTAAACATTGTTTGTTTCCACTGACCGTTGCTGCAACGCGGCTTCTATTTCATTGATATGTTTGTTAATTGTTTATTTTTTTAGAATCTGAATTGAATTGTTTGACTGTGTTTA